CCGATGCAGTAGGAAATTATTTTTGTTTGTATGTTCTTTGGAGCTTTATGGACGGGTACCGATAGGGTGTCTAGCCATTAAACGGGAGAGCGATTATTGTTCTCAACCAAAGCCTTTGATTCTACCAAGAACCTAACCACAAGGCATAGGGTGGAGTGGAGGCCTATTTGCGCAGGCATGCAAGATGGCGGGTTGCCCTTAATTGTATTCCTTTGGCCAAGATGGCTGTTCCCTCATTGGTCAACATAAACTTTCGGTCCCTGTTTCCAAAAATGTTGGATTTCAGTAGGATCCTCCGTCCAACAACTCATATGAACAATTGTACAGTCTGTATACAAAACTCTAGGTTGAATAAGGGTATAGATGGCACTAGTGTCGATAGACAGTTTTCAAGTTTAATGACCGGATTGTGGAGCCGGAAGAAAAAAAACTGGAGGGAGTGTTGTAAAATATACCAACGGTTCCTGGTGTGGCAAGTCCCATGTTGTAAAACATCCTTTTCCCTTTATCCACATGTATTCTTGTGCTGAAGTCCCATGTTAATTTTCAGTCCTACTCCAGATGTATCGATTGCCCAACTGTGCAATGCCACCTAATATTTTCCCGTAGTACTCACACAATTTTAAGTAACTTGTATATAACAGCTTACTGTACACAATCGTATGTCATTCTTCGACTTGCTTATACTTTGTATTGCCGCACTTTTAGGTGCTAACTAACGCAAAATCGCTAGCGACTTAACCTCTTTTATCATTCGGTATGACAGATCTTTGTCACTCTCCCACAAGGGGTAACTCTATACTCGACAAAGTAATCACCAACCATCCAACTCTTTTATCTTTAGCAACAAAAGCATCAATTTGCACCAGCGACCACTGTCTACTCTTAGTTCAACCTGAAGTTAATTCAAACAGTGATTATAGATCATATCAGATTTCGTCTTCGTAGCCTATCATCCACTAGGATTTCTCTTCTCAACCAATCTTTCAAGCAGGCTTCTTTGTATCCTTCATCATCTCCTTGCTCTCTATTCATGCGTGTTTCTCTATTCGCCCAAAAAATTAGTGTCATTTACGANNTGCGACGACGAAAGGACTGTGCTTACAAGTCGTAATGCTTCAACTGTCAGGTACTTATCCAGGTTTATCAACTCTGGAGTAAATAGATCAAACGCATCATTCTCCGATAGAATTCGGAGGACTAGCGACAGGGCACACCCGTGGCAAGGTATCAGACTTCTCTGTTGAAGGAAGAAAGTACTGTCGAAGCTGAGTGTTGATGTTAATGACTTCACTGCCGCATTCCTGCGCCAGTCGTCGGACATTCTTTCTGCCTACTCGTCACACAATGTTCGTAGTGTGAAACCATTCTTACATTGTGATGTCACCCACTGCAGGCCCGGATGGTTTACCTCCAACACTCTTGAAATTTGGTGCTGCCTCCATAACTGGGATAATCACCTCCATTGTAAATGAATCACTTTACACCTCTACCATCTCAGAATGCCGGAGGCCGGTCACAATCACACCACTCCCCGAATCATCCAAATCTTCTATCCTCTCCAAGCCTTGTCGTCCCATAGCGGTAACATCTCCAGCTCTTAGGTTGGCTGAAAAGGCTATCCTCAAACACCTTCAGCAGTCTATAAACATTCCCAATTATGCTTTACAGTTTGCTTACAAGCCGAATAAGATCCAATTTAGACGCAGTCTCCACTCTTATTCATTTTATCGCTAAGTCTTCAAATAACGCTGTGAAGTCTGTTCGGTGTTTTTTTACCACGCAATATTTGATTCGATCAAAGTTGTTAAAGAATCTAAAATCGTTTGAATGATTCAAGTAATTGTTAGCTTGACTATCCAACCATTTTACTGATAGTGAACAAACCACTAGACCTAGAAAAGCTTTATATAAACCCTTAGTCAACAGCTCCAGAGTTCTTCGAGGAGCTGCGCTATCCCCATTCGTAATTTTCACGTACTTTTGTGCTATTCCTTGTGTTCCTCCTGCGTGTGTTTTGAAAGATGCAGATGATACTGTGCTATGCCAACCCGTTTCTTCTTCCTCCGAGTTAAGCTCGTTCTCCGACAATCTCGATCAACTTCAGTCATTCTCCTCCTTATCAGGGCTAACCTAGATCCCGGTAAATGTGTTGAGTGTCAATAATAGTTTTGCACGCTCTTCATATCCGACAGAGTTCACAGTGATAAATAACAATCCTTTATCTATGGAGAACTCTGTCAAATATTTTGGTGTAACTATGGATAACAATCTGCGTTGGTCAACATTCACAACCGCATCGGTAAACTGCTACGCCTATCATTTTAAATTAGAAAGCTCAGTCAGTTTCGTGCATCCCAGTCAGTTATGCCTACCTTTGTATATCAGTGTGTTTTCCCTGTCTTACTCTACTGCTCCCCAGTTATGTTTCCTGGTTTGCTCAAACAGGATTTCAAAGTTTTACATCGCGGTCTAGTTCTTATCAGCCGTGTTTCTTTTATTCATGTAAACGAATTGGCTGTGAAACTTTCAGAGTATCACGTAACTTCCTACGTGAAATTCGTGCCGAGAGGATTCTCACATCCTGACCACCCCCAGCACGCACGCAGAACAAATCAAGTCAACTAAAAAGTCGCTTTATTCATCCTAATGGATGGGTTCTGAGCTTCTTGCACACACCAGGAACATTTATCGTCGCATACAGTTACAAAAAAGTGAGGAGAGAAAAAAACAGCATCGTCAATTCAAAGGAATGTTTAGAGAAGACTTTGAAAATTAATATCAATTGCGTAGGAATTTCACAAAGTCTTCTCTAACGGATACCTTTTGAGCCAGAAATCTTGAAAGATAGGGGATGACAGACAAACGATATGCAGTGGTACGAGCATACACCAGTTTATAACGACAACTTGTTACAGAAGTGGATATGCATTGTTTGAGTTGTGTGTAATGGGTGAGTGGTGTCTGATAAAATATTGTTACAGAAGTTATCGCAATAGGTAAAATGTTTATCGGCGATAAAGTTAAGCAAGTGCA